TGGTTGGGCCGGATCAGGTTAACTACCGTGACGTACAGATAAACCTCGTCCCACTTTAATGACCGGACCTCCTCAGACTTCACCTATGTGTTGAATCATACCAAGCCTGACCGTCCAGAAACCCGCTGTATACACGCCGTAGCGCGATTTCCTCCTCAGCCTCGGCCACTACGCGCCCGAGCCCTTGACATCCTCATTGACTCCGAAATATAAATGCCGTCCAAGATCTCATCGTTGCTCTAGCCTTGCACCTTCATATCATAACGTTGGGTTGTTTTCTTCATTGGGGATTTGCGTAATCCCCTCGGTGTATCTTCCCTCTTCTTCCTTCCTTTGTACACGTCCCGTTTCCATCATTACTTTCCTCATTAGGGCGTGTGTAGGTAGGTGATCGGTCGGGTATGGAGGTAGGTCGCAGGTGTAGGATCGATTGAGAAATGCTTCGTCGCAAGTATAAAAGGGGTTTAAGAGATGTCGGATGTTTGAATACGACCCCCAGATAGACCTAGGCCCATCCGTGAATCGTATGTTGGTGGTGATGACTTTTTGTTCGACGTTGTTCCGGCTGTGAAATCTCTGCCGACTGATTTTTCGACCAAAATATCGAGTGCAACTCCTTCAGGTCGAAAATCCATCAATTAAAATTCATCCCACCCTGTTTCGTGACTGAATCTCGGCTCTGGGAGAATATTTCACTCCCAGGTTCGTAGAGGACACCACTAACAGGTGTTCAGCCTTCGTCCTCCCAGTCATTGAGGTTGTAGGGTGCATTGAAACAAGTAACTACCGAAGTGAAACTAAGTACAGAATTTGTAGTCACGTGCATACCAACAACGAGGCCTACTTGATAGCCCCAATTATTCTAAATTCTAACATTTTATGCCTTAGATAGTAGTATATCTGTAATCCAGTCTACCAACAAAGACCCAATCATTAGGGATTGGGTCAAGTAATAATCATCCATCGTTTTCACCTATTCCACCCATTCAGATCTGAATAATTAACCCAACACTATCTAAGGATATTTTTCATTACGCAAAAGATTACTTCTTTCCGCACGCTGGTTTTAGAGATGTTATTGTAGTTAATCTCTGCCGCTAATATTGGATAGTCTGATGGCTCGTTTAGTATCTCTGCCTCAGGATAATTTATTCAGGCCATAACAGGAGCCATGAACAAGGAAGAATGAGTGAGTGAGTGAGTGAGTGATGTTTATTGTACTACTTAAGTCTTAGACTATCTAGCACATTGGGCTCCTTTCTGACCCAGGCCACACTATGTACAGTGCTTCTTGCCTCTTTTGTTAATTGAAAGATCATTGATATATTTCCCTTGATGAGTAGCCATTCAGCTCAGTATTTACCCGTGGAATTCGGCCACCTTTTCCACGGAACCTTCTACCCAAAAAAAAAAAAAAAAAAAAAAATGGTAGCAATGGAAACTGCGTGCGCGGGAAAAAGTCTCAAAAAACCTGCAGCCCCAGCCAGGCGAGGCCTAGACACTGGGACCACATGAGGTGCGCATATTCATCTATATCTCCCTTCTTTGTAACGGTCGAGGTCGACTTGATCCAGTCCACCAACTCCGTATCGGGTGCTAGGTACGCTCCGGAAACTCATCGGATGGCATCTCCTCCAATATCAAGGGTTGGTGATGAGCAGGGCTCCGACCCTACAATCTGATCTGATCGTGGTTAGCTTCATGATAATGGTGATAGGGGAATGTGTTGAGAGATGAAGACGATACAGACAGCGAAAGCGATTGGGAATCCTCGTCGAAGTGAGGACGTTGTTACTCAATCTTGGCTCTACAGACTCTACAGTGAGAGCTGGAGGTTCGTAGGGGACACCCCTGACAGGTGTTGAGCATAGTCCCCCTCTTCTTGGCGTCAAAAATTTCTAGATAAATATTTACAGGACTCGATAGGAGTCTCAATTCCTGTTTGTAGACAAATTTGATCACCAGATTAGATCTCGTCAATGTATCTGATGATATTTCCCCTGACAGGGAGTGCCTTACACTCTAGCTCCGATCCAACGTAATAAACTATTTATGTATATTAACTAATGTCGCGCCCGCGCCCGGTCCCGTTACGTGAGCAGCTCACGTATCAGCTAGCCTAGTCTGTAATGATTCTTTATTGTCCTGTCTCAGTCTATGACAATGTGCCGGCGAAGACGAAGTTTTCACCTTCCAGTGGTGCCGATGTAATCGCTCAGTATACTCTGCAAATCTGGGATAGCCAAGAAGAATCGCATCCAAATCGAAGTCGAAAGCACTCACAAGCACATCTAAAATCGACGACTTCTTGTCAATTTCGGATCTATCATTCTCACGCGAGTCCTCCACCTCAATCTTACTACACCACCTCGCCACGAATACCGATAATGGCGTCACTCCATTTGCAATCGGGCATTTGCCTCATCAAAAACCGGCCATCTCCCACTACACACTTACGATGCCATGTATAGCCGCGAGGACGAATTCAAGTCATAATCTACAAAGCTCGGGTCTTGGTCTATGGGGGGCCGTTGCTCTAATGGGGCTTCACATCTTGAGGGAGGACAGGCAGCTGGGACGCACATTTTTCGAGTGTTTTCGACTTAAGGGTGTCTGTGGGCGCCGAGGCAACGATTTAGGATAGTGCTACCGACACTCTAAAAACTGGCAACGATGGAAGATTTTTTGGTCCGTCTCCTGGTCATCATCTCCACCAGTTAGAGTCTGGGTAACCTGGACACCTACCTCACTCGAGAAAGGGAGGACTGTGAGGCCATATCTCGCGCGGCGGCTATACACAGGATGGCAAAGGCATGTTAGGGTAGCCAAAGGTTTTTCCTGTTGTCCCTTTGGTGGATATTAACGGTTGAGGGAAGGGTGAAAGTCCCTAGCACCAAGGTCTCGAGTGGTATCAGCGAATGCACCCACTACATGAGTAGTCCAATTTTCAAACTGAGTTATCGTCGTATATAGTCGTCGGAGAAGCTAGTCTTCTCCGTGTCATGCTCTTTGAGTGCAGCGCTTGTGCCCGTCACGAATAAACTTTCATTCATTCAAACTTTCTATGACTATGTGATACATGCAGGTTCTCTCTGCCTACAGGCCAAATATACCCATTCAGTATTATACACCCTCCTATGCCTCTCATACAGCTCCGCTCAAACAGTACCACCCCTCACAAGTCCTCATTCAATCATACACTTAGAGGAACCCTTTGCGCTTCATTATCTCCCCTCTCCAGCCACCGAAACGATGGCCATTTGCGGGTGTATTGCAGCCAGGAAACTTTGCCAAAAATCACTATATGCGGGGCTGCACTAACACCGACATTAGGTTTAAATTCGAGGACATTGTCATATCTCTAAAGCGTTCGGAGATTGATGCAAAAAAAAAGCGTTCGGAGGCCAGCCAGCTAGGCGCTGTAAACCTAGGTGCGCCTCATGAAGTTGCTACTTCGCCTTTATAGCCTCCTATCAACTCTTTCCGGAAAGTCGTGTTGAAATGCCAGGAAAACCCTGACAGAAGACGTTGGCTCTACAGCACTTCATCCTGAATACTTTCTGCTGTCTGGGGTACTGGTGAGTGTTGTAGAGTCACAGAAAACAGAAGTCCTCTTAGCCCAGTCTAAATAGAATACCCCGACAAATTTGCGCCTACACAGACCCAACATAGCAGATGAAAGCTAGGATCTTGAAATCTGGCGCTCGAATATTAAACTACACACGAATGTTGATCTCCCGTCCAATTTCGTGACAGGCAGATGGTATAAAATAGAAAAGATTCAAAGAAAAAGGCGGAGTTTGATTACATCAATTCATGATTCCATCCCATCTAACCTGTCATTGTGTCCGTTCGAATAAATTTATGGCACAAGTATTACTTTATTTAAAATACGCCTGGAGGGCTGCCATCACGTTAGCTACATACCTGCGTACCTTACTATTACAGTTCGCGAGGATAGAGAGCTGCATGCGTAATTAAAATCTGGTGCAAAAACTTCGTGCTGTAAGTACATACGCTAAACCATTGAGCCACTTGAACCAGGTCTGAGTATACAATTTACATTTAAACTCTAATAATCTCCAAGCTGCTCATACTATTGTAAATGCTGCTTATGCACGTCCATGGCGATCTCAATCTATGAAAATGGTCCTGTGCACTAACGCACATCCACAAGCCCGAATGTATTTCTTTCGCCATTCGATTATTGTTTTCTTAACAGACCCCAGTGCCTAATATGCATGCAAAAGACACGCGACAAGGTTCACGTAGAAGGTGTGAGACATTGACTCGATAACGGTGAAAATCACGATTCCGGCACTTGGAATGGACTCGGACCTGAACCTCTGCAGTTTTCTGTCCTGATATTGAGCGGCTTTATCTCTCAACTAATCTAGTAAAAATAGTCTTTGACAAGACTATGGGTGGTTGAACTAATTTAACATAATCCCGTTTTATCACGCTTCTCAACAGTTTCGCCCGGCAAGCTGGAATAGACAGCTTGGCAAAACATGCTGATGTCTAAAGATGAAATGACATGCACCTAGTTTTGCTTAAATGTAGGGAGGAAACTTAGCCCTCAAGGCTTTTTCTCTTTGCCGGCCTAGCTCCCATGATGGCTGGCGGCACATGCAGCTACATGCACTCTAAGGGCTCGAGGCGCTCAAAGAGGTAGAGTAAGTGCGTCGAAAATTATCTGTTATGCCTAGAAGATAAAAGGAAAGAGGTGCAGAAAAACTAGGATTTTCTCCATGTACCTCGGATAACTGGGCTTCATGCCAGCTTTGATGAGACCTCGTCACAAGAGCTCAGGTGATACGGTTTGAAAGCTTCAAGCTCTGCTTTCTCTGGTCTCTAATCATTCATCTAAGCTTCGTCCCACATGCTTGTTATCCCTGTGCTCAACCACTGTTTCCATCTGTTATGGCCCTGAGTTTATTCAAAGCTAGACTTACGTCTCTTCATTAATATCCAACCTTTCCTACTCTCTCACTTTCGCTATGGACCAGCTTGATTCGCCAGCATCGGTATCTCTATCATCGGCAACATCCAATTCAAAGCAGTTTATATGGCTACTCACAGGCCCCGCAGGTTGTGGCAAGAGTACTATTGGAATGTTTCTGGCACAGGCAATGAATTTGCCATACATCGAGGGTGATGAGGTAAGGTTAAGATTTTAATCCTCCGAGACGCTGTTCCATCTCAGACCAAGCTGATACTTAACTCTAGTTTCACTCGACTACCAACATTGAAAAAATGTCACAAGGAATTCCACTAAAAGATGCCGATCGATGGGACTGGCTTGCAAGTCTACGAAGTTCTGCGCTCCAATTCCTAGCAGCTGGCCATCCAGGTGTAGTACTTAGCTGTTCGGCTCTCAAGCGAAAGTATCGTGACGTCATTCGAGCCATCCCATACCTGCGCAATCAAGTCTCAGTATACTTTTTTTACTTGGATGCTCCGGAAGATGTACTACTTGCGCGTGTCCAGTCCCGAAAGGGTCATTTCATGGGACCTGAGATGATAACGAGTCAACTTAGCATATGGGAACCACCAGATGAAAAAGAAACAGACATCTTTCGTGTGAATGTCAACCGGCCTGTAGACCAAGTTAAAGAGGATGTATTGAAGATGTCGCATAACCTGATTCACTACTCGTTAAAGGTTGGTTGGCGCAAGGAATAAAAAGTGGCTTCAACCATCAAAGACAGAATCTATCTCAACTACTCTAAGATCTTCTGAGAAGATTACCAACACTGTGTAGAGAACACAGCGATTGCAGGCTCCAGAGTCATTGTCAATGTGCACCACACATTCTATGCAACGAAAAAACATGGTGGAAACACTGATCCCAGCTTTACAAGATTTACATGTCACTTTATTAAATCTTGGGTTACGATGTTAATCTGTCGCACAACAAAGATTAATCAAATCCGAGATTCGCAAAAATTTAATGCCTCACCAAAACGCTATTTAATTCGTATTAAGGTTGAATAATCTTTCCTATCAAGCAACTTTCCTTTCTGTGGTTCTGGTGTGCCGATCTAAGTGACGGAGATCCAATCCCTTTCGCTAGAAAATGGATCCCGATCTAAAACAATGTAATCCTAGATACCCGTCTTCGAAACGGGCAATAGACTGCATCTGAACCTTGCTAGCTGCAGGGTCGCTTGCTCCTCGGATACTAATGTAATGCAAGAAGTACATTCCACAAGGGTGTAGCACACAAGGATTAAGGCCACATCTAGTTCTGTTCCGTTCCCAAGATTCTATATTTTATTAAGGTGGAGAAATAAGGGCTTCATATCCTTTAATTTGTATTTTAAGCAGATAAATATTTAAGTGCCGTGACACTCAGATTAAATCGACCACTGTGTCTCTCCAGGCGTGGAATACTATAACTCTGACTCTTCCTCCGCTGCCTGACAGATACAACGACTACTACTGGTATGTAGACAGTCTGTATAGATAGAAAGTCTGTGGTAATCAAGAAGACCTTGAACGATGGCTTGTCGCCCTGGGATTGTGTCCCTAGGCCTCCTCAACACTTCTAATCTAGCCCATGCGGACCTAACACCACCATACGGCTAAAGCAGATAGAAATTTATTGGGGACCGACACAAGAGTAGCACTCGTAGAGCATGACACGGAAATAGCTAGTCTTTTCCCGACGACTATAGACGAAGATACTCAGTTTGACATCTGGACTACTCATGTAGTGGGTACATTCGCTGATATCACTCGAGACCTTTTTACCAGAGACTTTCACCCTTGCCTCAACTGTAAATATCCACCAAAGGGAAAACAGGAAAAACCTTTGGCTACCCTAACATACCTTTGCCATCCTGCATGTAACTGTCGCGCGAGATATGGCCTCACAGTCCTACCTTTCTCGAGAGAGCTAGACGTCGAGGCTTCCCAGACTTTAATTCGGGGAGATGACGACCAGGAGACAGACGAAAACACCTTCTATCGTTGCCAGTTACAAGTGTCAGTAGCACTATCAAAAATCCTGATCTTGGTGCGCAGAAGCACCTAAAAGTAGAAATCCCTCGGAAAACGTGAGTCCCAGCAAACTCAGAATTGTTTTTTTCTCTATTTCATTTCATATCACATTCGCCTGTTCTTACCCAGGTTGTAGTGTTCCATTAGAGTAGCGGCCCCTCATAAACAAAATCACAAGATTTGCACCTCACGACTTTTTCTCCATCTTGCATGTATACGTAGCGTCTTAATTTTGTAGTGGAAGATAGCTGGTAGTTAATGGGGCAGTTTCTCGTTTGCAATTGGAGTGACGCCATTATCGGTATTCGTGGCGAGGTGGTGTAGTAAGATCGAGGTGGAGGACTCGCGTGAGAATGATAGATCCGAAATTGACAAGAAGTCGTCGATTTTAGATGTGCTTGTGAATGCTTTCGACTTCGATTTGGATGCGATTCTTCTTGGCTATCCCAGATATGCAGAGCATACTAAGCGATTTCACTGGCATCACTGAAAGGTGAAGAATTCGTCTTTGCCGGCAAACCACTTGTAGATGGAAACAGCCTTTTGCAAAATATAAGAGAAGCCCAATTTCTTTTAAAAACTAGCAAAAAACCTATACATTCCGGTCTCAGTTATCCCATAAATCGCGAACCAATAAACTTGTAGCTTTTATCTTTCACTTAATAACAAAGCCTAAACAGTACCTTCCATTGTTGGCTAGTTTTTATTGTGACAGTTGCACTCTCGCAGTCGAAAGCTTGACGCGCAAAATTTTCTTCCATTTCTAAATCTTCTTGCCAAAATTACAAATCTGAAACCCGTGGAGATAGAATCCATCCTCTGTATCATCTTGTAAATTTGTCCCAATTTCTCCCACGCCCATCCCAAGAACACTTCCCCCTCATTTATCAGTTACCTGAAGATGACACTTGTTTAGCTAACTTCTTTCGTTACAGGTATATTGCGCTAATTCCATCGCGCGATGCTTTTCACGGCGCAGCTATGGTCACCCAGGGCTCAAGTCAACAATTGTTATTACTGTAATCGATAGAGTCATACCCAAGTGTGTTGGAAATATCGCGCAATGAAATGGGCGCAATATTTCTGGAACGAAAGTAGGAGTTAACCAAAAGAGTGTCATGTTCGGATTACAGCAAAAAGTGTGGGAGATGTGCGCTACAAGTATAAGTGTAAGCGACACAGAGCCTAAACCACAGCATAAACGAGTGTGGCGCCATCTAGGCATAGAAAACCCCCAATAACCTCCTTGCGCCCACGCCATACAGCCGCTCATGTCTCCAATAGGTAGCCTGAAGCGCTACCATATTACCTATTCCAACCTCTTACATACACACAAGATCGTGTCGGGAACCTAGATGAAATGGAGGGCCCGTATGTCCACAATACTCTGTGTCTCCATTTCCAACAAAGTGTCGTGCGGAAAAGTAATAAGATATGTAAAGTGCGTGGTTAACAACTAAACTCGCAATTATAAAAGGAAGCAAGTATCGTGCTGCAACTGTGGGAGTGCGCACAGTTCGTGGTAGAAAACGGCATGCAAGACCTACACAGTCTATAGAGGAAGCGTGGCATCAGCTCGGTTAGAGCTTTTCGGAAGAACAGATGATACCCACCGGGATATCACAGGCGGTGTAGCCCAAAGGCCAATAACTGCCTTTAAGGTGTTGGATGAAAAAGGGTCAATACATCTTCTGATCGGGTCCTGATATCGTTAGTGGTAGAGCCTCGCACCCAGTGGTTTTCGAAATTTCCCCGGCTGCTATTCACCCTCAGATATCCTTCGTTCTGATGGCTGGAAAGGGGAGATAATGAGGGCAAAGGTCTTTTCTAAGTGTATGATCAAATGAGGAGTTGTGAGGAGCTGTACAGTTTGAGGGGAGCTGTATGAGAGGCATAGGAGGGGACATACTAACGGATAATTATCCTTGGCCTGTAGGCAGAGAGGAACTGTATGTCCTACAAAGTCTTGGATTTAGGGAGGACAATATGTGACTTGACAGACCAATGGTTTTCATTCCTATGTGAACTTGGTATCCTAGCTGTCTATAATCTACCGGAAAGGCCAGCTCATACGCCACACCACTAAACTATCCAGCCATGCAAATGGGTTTCGAGCCGTGTGCATTCTCACAGACGAAGCCTCGATGCCCATGCTCCCAATATGAGTTTCTCCTTCCAAACATCTAATCCGTATCTGATCAGAAACTTTACTCACCCTCATCAAGTCACGTCCATATTTCTTACTTTCCCCCTAGTCCCTCCCTGTTACCTGTCTAGCTAATATGTGTGCCCCCATTTAAGCCCGTTCTATAAGCAAACGAAGCACGGCAGCCCCAATTTTGAATTCAGAATAAGGCCTGACACCGAGAACGCTAAAATTGTGATTATTGAGTGGAGGATACAATAGGTCTCACTCGAATATCGGATGTGGCCATGAGAAAAATTATCAATTCAAATAAAGAGCAAAGGGCCAGTATGGGTGAAGTCTTTCATTAAATGCAACATTGGCTGTCTTGTGAATGGCAACTTTTGACGATATCCCGGACTAGAATAATACTACGCCTCGACTTTAAGAAGTAAGCTCGCAGGCATATTTTGAAGTCTTTATATTCCAGCTTGGATAGCTCTAAGTGAATTCTACTATCGGGCTAGAGACCAAGACCGCGTGCTGTACATTGGCACTTCGTAAAATAAAAAACAAAATACAAAATACAAAATACAAAATACAAAATACAAAATACAAAATACAAAATACAAAATACAAAATACAAAATACAAAATACAAAATACAAAATACAAATACAAAATACAAAATACAAAATACAAAATACAAAATACAAAATACAAAATACAAAATACAAAATACAAAATACAAAATACAAAATACAAAATACAAAATACAAATACAAAATACAAAATACAAAATACAAAATACAAAATACAAAATACAAAATACAAAATACAAAATACAAAATACAAAATACAAAATACAAAATACAAATACAAAATACAAAATACAAAATACAAAATACAAAATACAAAATACAAAATACAAAATACAAAATACAAAATACAAAATACAAAATACAAAATACAAAATACAAAATACAAAATACAAAATACAAAATACAAAATACAAAATACAATTCAATTCAATTACTATAGGACGAGCTCTCATAGCTAGAAGTGAAAGAAGATAGGAATGTGTTTGCCTTGAATATTGAGAACTCTGTGTGCCTCTGTCCGTCACGAGTAGTGACGGCCTATTTTTAAACATCAACACAAGATTTCGAACCTGCACTAAGAACAAAAATTTTCTTTCCTCATAGAAGCACTCGACAAGCAACTAAAGTTAAGTTACCGCTAGGTAGCTACACCATCTTGTAGGAGTTTCGTAGTACGTTTATTCCCATATAATTTTCTAGCATTTCAAGAAGACGTCAAAATAATCTCATCGCCTTAGCAATAATATGGATATCGAATACTATATGGTCAATATAATCGATAATTTTCAGTTTTATCGGTGTAAAAAAATTGATACAAGAGATAAACTAAAGTTTTGGTCGTCTTGGTGAGTATAAGATTCGAGAAGGGCTGAAAATTCGTAGGCCAAATTGAGGTGTGTGTCTTGTAATATTTGGGTTAGGAATTTGTTTGCAAAAATTAAAAAAAAATGTAAT